AAAACAAAAGGTTACATACTTTTCGACCCAATAAACAAAAAGGTGATAGTAAGTAGAGATGTTCGAGTAAACGAAGAAAGCAAGTGGAACTGGAACAACTCTACTGAAGTTGTGGTCGATGTACCAGATGCTATATTGAAAGATACTTCGACAAAACTAGAAGACTGTGATGATGAAGAAGGACCCTCACAACCCAGGTTGTACAGTTTACAAGACTTGTACGAAAACACAGAAGAAGTGCATCTCGTATGCTTGTTGGAAGACACTGAAGATGTCAGTTTCAAAGAAGCAATAAGAAACAAAAATTGGAAGAATGATATGAATGAATAAATCAAGGCCATCAAACGCAATGATACTTGGGAACTAGCAGAGTTACCAAAAGGAAGTCAAACAATTGGTGTGAGGTGGGTGTTTAAGAAAAAGATAAATGCACAAGGTGAAATAAAAAGATACAAGGCGTGACTTATGGCGAAAGGATACAAGCATAAAGCAGGAATCGATTATGATGAATTCTTCACACTTATTGCGAGAATGGAGACAATTTGACCGCTCATATCTCAAGCTTCTCAATACAAATGGAAAATACATCAGATGGATGTCAAGTTAGCCTTTCTGAATGGCGTGCTCGAAGAAGTTTACATCGAACAACCCCCTGGATTCATGAAAATCGAAAATGAAGGAAAGATGCTAAATCAAAAGAAGGAACTTTATGGGATGAAGCAGGCACCACGAGCATGGAATACTCGAATTGACACATACTTCAAAGAAAACGAATTTCAGCAATGTCCCTATGAACATGTCCTGTATGTGAAGAAGAAAAAAGAGAAAATATTGCTTGTTGCTCTCTATGTTGAAGATTTAATTTTCTTGGGCAACAACAATCAGATGCTCGAAGAGTTCAAAGGCACAATGACACAAGAATTTAAGATGACTGACTTAGGCTTGATGAAATAATTTCTTGGTCTGGAGGTTTAACAATAAGAAACAAGAATCTTCATCTCACAAGAAAAATATGCAAAAGATATCCTGAAAATATTTAAGATGGATAGCTGCAATCCCATTTCGACACCAATGGATCCAGGAGCAAAGCTTTCGAAATTTGATGGGGGAGAGCGTGTCAAAACAAACAAATTTCGAAGCTTGGTGGCAAGTCTTCGATACCTCACATTCACAAGTCCAGATCTTTCATTGAATGTTGGAATTATGAGTCATTTCATGGAAGAACTATTTGTTGCACACTGGAAAGATCTGAAGAGAATCCTTCGATATGTCCAAAGAACTGTGTCACTTGGAATGTTCTATTCGAAAGCAGAAGAATACAGATTGACTAGCTACTCTGACAGTGATTGGTGTGATGACATTGATGATCAAAAGAGCACTTCAGGATATGTGTTCTTCATGGGAAACACAACTTTCACCTAGCTGTCAAGCAAGCAGCTGAAACGATCGGCTGAAGATCATTAAACAATGAAGTCGCCATCGAACGTATTTTATCCCACATAAAGGAAAAGGTAAACATCGAGAAAACCTGAGAAGGGAGAAGTCACGGTCTTACGATTGAGAGATCGGGTAAGGGAGTCTGTTACGCGAGGGGAAGGTATTAGCACCCCACACGCCCGTAGTAATTTACGATATCCACTCTTGTTATCTATATTATGGGTGTGTTTAATCTATTCTTATTGTTTACTACTGGTAAAGGGAATGCATGAAAAATAACAGAGAAAAGAATGTAAGGAAAATAAAATTGTGCTCGCTTGGGCCCTACCCCAATGCCTAGGTATCCGTTTTGAGGAATCAGAGCTACTGTAGTTCGGCTTACATGTTTTTGTTTGTTTGTGTTTTTTGTGGACGAAGTTAATTCCGCCTTCTTCCGCAATTCGACCTTTGGAGACTTATGTGTTGGCACAGAAGTAAATTAATCATGTCCTTACCTGAAAAGGGTTTTAGAGAAAGGTTCTTTAGCGCACAAAAGATTTGAATTGGTTTGTATTTTTGTTGTAGATAATGACTAGTTGACCTCAAGAGAGAGATATTAGCCACTTTTCTACTTAGCCATGAAAGGAGTCTTTGAGAATTGAACCACACCTAGACTTGAGATGAAGAATAATAAGATCGAGAAGAGACCCTCTTATCATTTCTCATACTAAGCGAATGCATGATTCTCATCAGTAGTTTTAAATTTTTTTGAAGTTTGAAAGAAAAAGAAGTTTTAGTTTTTACTGTAAATGCAAAAATGGGATAGAAAAGTCAAAGGGAGACTAGTCTATTTCTAAACCTAATTTTATCATGCATTGTTAGACCTAAAGTTAGAATTTTGAGGGAATTCTACCTAATGTTTGCATGCTTGGATTTGCAACCCTACTGTCCAATTTTGATTCAATTAAATCGAAGATTAAATTTGAACAAAAATATCCTAAGGGATCATGAAAGACTACACAAACAAGTAAAATTGGTAGCAAGTGTTAAAGTATTGCATACGATCCATACTCGAAAATCGCAAACAAAATACATGATATAACACGAATAAAACTAATGATTTAAAATTGACTAAAAGGTTAGCAAAAGAAGAAATATATTCCTAATTAATTTCTAAAATGCCTTTTGATATTTTTTTTCCATTTTTATTATGTATCTCATGTTACTAAAAAGGTCATGAAAGAAAAAAATAATTATAAAGAAAATGAGAGAATCCGGGGGGTGCAATAACTGGGTCAGGACATATGGTGAAGTAAGATGGCACTAAGGCCCAGCAATGAGTCTATAAACAAATTTTTGTATCAGCGTCTAAAAGCCACAAAAATTTCCCTTTAGGCCAGGATAAGGGTGATCCACTCCACACCATCATCCCACATTAACCTTCAGCATTATTTGTATTATTATAAATAATTATTGAAAATAAAACTAAAAATAAATGAAAAAAGACAAAAAAGAACACCCCAAATGCAGCAGAGTTAAGGCAGGGTGCCTCTTAATCTTTCTCACGAAGCGCGGCGGCCAACTCAACCTTCTTGCATGGCAGCTTGCCTCAACCTCAACGAAATAACAAATCAACAACATAAAGATTGCTCTCCTTTGAACGTTGATCACGAATCACACCATGAATTCTTCCAATATCCATCAATTAGTGAGATCAAAGAAAAGGGATTCGTGAACCCTAAATCGATCAAGCTAACGGTTCCATTTAAAAGATAACGTAAAAGTCTGAATCTACCTCTGATGGTGACGATCTAGTTACTTCCTTTCCTTCACTTTCCACTATTCCTTATCTCCTCTTCTTCTATTCTCTTCTGCTTTGGTTTCTGTTGCAAAGACGATGGTGATATTGTTGTTTGTTGTGACAGTGTGCTGAAGTTGTATAGCGATTCGATAATGATGATGAAGTTGATTCGTTGTTGTTTGCGGATGCCCATTACGGATCGATTGCATAAGATGATGGAAGAAGTTGTTGTAGTTGTTGCTGATGAAGAGGAGATGCGTGAAGATTGATGAAGTTGCGAAGTTACGTTGTTCTTGGAAGCAGAACCCGAGGAGTTATGCCGAGGATTTTCAGAGAGAATAGATGATTGGAAGTTTATGGGAAGAAGATGGTGAAGATGATGATGGAGGATAATGGTGATGAAGTTTAAGCTCTTACGACAATTGATGAAGATTCAAGCGTATCCAAGCATGGAAGAGAGAATCTTAGAGGTGAGTCTTTCTGATTTTTCTGTGAATCGTGAAAAAAAATGAATCCCCTGATTTCTGAATGAAGACTTGATTATATAGTTGGTTGAGTTTGAGAAGTTGGTTAGAGATTGATTAGGCGGTTAGAAGTTGGTTACATGTTAAATTTGTTAGAGATTGAAGAGTTAGTTAGTTAGGAATTGAAATTGGAGGGAATTTTATTGGAAATTTCTATAAGAGTTATTTTGTTGAATTCCTGTTATAACTGTTAGAGCTGTTAGTAATAGTTGGGAAATTGAAGTTAGTTATAGGTTTGTGAGAAGTTAGCATGTTAGAACTAACGTGGTTAAGGGATTATTTACATGATAGTTAGTATAAACTCTAAAGAATTGTTAGGAACTTGTTTAAGAGTAAGTTTTTCTGGTTTTCTGTTGACAGTCAGGGTGGTTTAGAAGTTAGTTAGGAGATTTAAAGTATGTTAGCTTTAGGAATTTAATTGAAGATAGTTAGTTACAGGAAAATGATTTTTTTTGTTGGTAACAGGTTTGGTTAAAGCTGGAATTTTGAAAAAAAATGGTTAGAGGGTTAGAGGTTGTTATTTTTTTAGACTTTTTTCAGTCTGTTAGATAAGGTTATGGAATTCTGTTAGAGGTGGTTATGGGAATTATCTGGACTTAAAGGAGTATAATAATTCAGTTACAAATTGGTTATAAATTCTGTTAGAAATATGGTTTTGGTAGTTGAGAGGTTATGAAACAGTTACGGGACAGTTAGGGATTCTTGTTTGGGGCAAATGGTCGAGAGGTTGTTTTAAAAGCTGTTATAGGTTTGTGAGGGATGGAAGAGTCCTGTTTTTTTTCTTCTGTTTCTGCCAATTAGTTCCCATTCTGATTTGATGATTTTTCTGTTTTAACTATTTGTTATTTAATAGTTAGAATTCTAGGGAGTTGGTTGATGCAAACTTTACGAAATTAAAAATTCTTTTTCAAATTGCTCCTGATTTGTTGTTATGGTTAGTTTGCAGGGCTGCTCATTTTGACTGAACAACATCAAGAAACTGGGAAATACTATCTTGCAAGCCATGTTAATGTTTGACACTTAGAATAATTAACTGGACTGGTGGGACTATCCATGCATCTGCTGCATTGCCTGAGGTTATTCTCAACTGCCTTTGAATTATTTGAGCTTAATGTATTGGACTTGCGACAGAACTAACGTGTGCACGGCTGGATGTTGCAGATGGCGCTGATTATGCAGTTTTGAACTATGCAGATGACGGAGCCTCGTTGAGAGCTACCTCCCAGCATTAATGCGCATGTAAACGATTCACTATCACTTCAGATTTTGGCCAAATCCTTCCTTCCGTCATATAACTTCAGTGTTAGTAATATCTGAACTCCCACTTTGGTTGTTTGTGATGTATTGTAGGTACCTACTTTCTCTCCTGGCCTTGCATAGCCAAGGAATAGCCCATAACAGCTCATCAGATTGGCATTTGTTTTCTTTGTTTTTTTTGTACACTAGGTAGATTTTGAGCAATTTAAAAGCATGGACAATTCAAAGCTGAGCATTTTAATGAGACAAGGATGCAATACGCTTCGAGCTTTGGTCGTGAAAGATGAAGATTTAATCAAGAGGGTGAAAGCCAGGGCCATGAAAACTATGGAGTTTATCATGGAAGGAACATGAAGCTATATATAATGTTTAGATTTTGTAGGATAATATTTTGTAATCTTTTCCTCTTAAAACCCTCTTTCAAATTGTATACTTCTTTTTGAGTAACTCTCGTGTGGAATTTAGACTCTAATGGAGAAGCTTCATCTATTTCTTTCTTTTATTTCAAATTGAACTCTGTTGACAATTTGATAGTGTGATGAAATTAGGAGTATTGAATATCTTGAATTCAATATCAATTTTCTGAAGTGCTCAAAGTATTGTCTTTTATATTTTCCATGGAAATTAACTTTGAATACTCCTTTAATGGCGTAAATTCCAAGCATATTATGATCCCATTATTCGTGTAATGACAAACATTTTATGGTAAGAATGAAAGAGTCTTCCACAAGACTCCGTTAAAGATTGTTTCAGCATGCTCCCTTTGTGATGCATAGCAACATAAGTAGCCATGTTTGAACTTGAAGTAAGAGACCTTCATAATAAATGGGGAAACGCCGGTCCCGAGTAACATGGTGTATTAGGCCCACCACTACCTTATACCACCAATAATAAAACCCTAATTCAAAAGTATGACTTTCTTTTAAGTAAAGTCTTCATCCATAGCATCTTGATTCAGTCTCATTCCCTCCTTTGCATAATGACTTGAAATCCAAGTAATGACATAACCCCTTTGGAGTCTATTTCTTACACCAAACCCACTTGCATCCTCAATGAATCCTTAGCTCATTTCCCTCTTCTAATTCATACCAAACTTGTTCGCCAAGCAACCAGTATTAGAAAGAATGATTCCTGGAGCACAATGAATCTTCAATTGAATTTAGAAAACTTAACCATGATGGAATGTAAACCCTAACAACTTGCAACCCTAATTTGTTTGTTCACTGAAGTAACTTGGAAAGGTGGCTTGTCTTTTGATGAAAATAAGTATCTCAATGAAAGAGGAAATTCCCAACGACCACGAACATAAACTCTAATCCCTCAAACCCTTGATTGATAAAGAACCATGTCGATCCAAGCTTGCATAAAGATGAGAACCTAAAAGCACAAAGAAAACATAATTCCTCAATATCCTCAATCCCATGCCAAATTATTGATCAATGATGCATGACATGCAAAATGACCTAACAGAGGGTATGCAGAGGGACTAAAAAGTGTCAAATTCGTAAGTTAGATAAAAGCAAAGGGGTAGGACAAATTTGGGGTATCACAACTGCCCCTATTTAATCGTCTTAAACCTGAAAGTATGATTGGCGTGTGCCTTTCGGAAGTTCGAGGTAGAAGATGATTAAATACTAATGCCAAAAATTTGTCCTGAGAGAGAATGTAAGTGCTTATTTATTTTTGGGGGAAGAATTCTTTTGTTTTTTAGTGAAGAGACGGAGATTGAACTTGTAACGTAGCATGATGCCAATACAAGGAAGAGATCAGACTTGTAATGTAGCATGATGCCAATACAAGGAAGGTACAACATGGACGAGTGTTTTGAATTAATACAGTCAAGTATCGAAAGAAGATACAGACGAGTATCAAGAAAGGTCAAACACGGACGAGTGTTTGAATACAAACGGGTATTGAAAGAAGATACGGGCGAGTATCAAAAGGTTAAACACGGACGAGTGTTCGAATCAATACAGACGAGTATTGAAAGAAGATACGGACGAGTATCAAGTGGTTTAAACACAGACGAGCGTTTGAATCAATACAAACGAGTATTGAAAGAAGATACAGACGAGTATCAAGTGGTTAAACACAGACAAGTGTTTGAATCAAAACGGACGAGTATTGAAAGAAGATACAGACGGGTATCAAGTGGTTAAACACAGACGAGTGTTTGAATCAAAATGGATGAATATCGAAAGAAGATACGGACAAGAATCAAGAGGTTTAAACACAGACGAGTGTTTGAATCAATACAGACGAGTATTGAAAGAAGATACGGGAGAGTATCAAGTGGTTACACACAGACGAGTGTTCGAAAAACGGACGAGTATTGAAAGAAGATGCGGACGAGTATCAAGAGGTTTAAACACAGACGAGCGTTTGAATCAATACATACGAGTATTGCAAGAAAGATATGGATGAGTATCAATAAAGAGATAACACAGACAAGTGTTGGTATCAATACGGACGAGTACTGAAGGAAGATACGGACGAGTATCAAGGAAGAGATAACACGGACGAGTGTTAACATCAATACGGATGAGTACTTAAGGAAGATACAGACGAGTATCAAGGAAGAGATAACACGAACGAGTGTTCGGGAGACTGACATGGATGAGTGTTTAGGAACTGACACGGACGAGTGTTTAGGAATTTACACGACGAGTGTTCAGAAGTTGACACGACGAGTGTTTAGGGTACTGACACAAACGAGTGTTGGAAGTCTCAATTGTTTGTCAGATGGGAGTTGGATACCGGAAGAAAACTGGGTCTAGAATGACAGAGTGTATTGATTTTGTTGGGCATTAAAAAGATGAAGGTCGTCGATTGTGGATTTTGGGAATGATACCCTCCTGTAGGGATGTATTGTTGTCCTTGAATGATTCAGGTCTTTCTTGTAAGGTACCTGATCTGGCTTATGCTTCGTATGCATGTTTAAATTTCTTTTTCCGCGAAGATCCATTCTGATGGATCAGCTACGCGCTTTTGAGGATGCAATGTTATGTAGTGATAACTATATGCAGTGCAAAGAAATAGGCTTCATGGGGATAATCAAAAGCTTGCTGGGAACCATCACTCATCACTGGAGATGTCAATACATATCGACGCTGGAAACCTGCAGTATCAAAGTTCATTGGGGATACTGATAATAATTTACACTGGGGGGCCCATGATACTACAGATTATTGATGATTGTGCTGAAGATTGAATTATTGACGAAGCGAGCTTCAGGTACGCTACTGGATTCTGAATCGTACCGTTTGGGGAAGAGATAATCTGGCCAGACTTCCATACACCCCGAACTGTCGAGAGGATGATAGGACTTAATATTCCGAAGAAAGGATACTGAACACCATGTGAATCTCTCTGAATACCTGCTCCAAGTTTACACACACTGGGGAGTTATCTCTTGAATCATTTGGGGATAAAAGATGGGCATGGACATCTATGGGTTCCCCGGTTTAGCTCTGTGGATGCCCCGGTTTAGCTCTGCGGATGCCCCAGTCTAACTTCACTGGGGACGTTCTTGATTAACTCCACTGGTGATGCACTTGCGCATGTTGAGTCAAACGATGACTCCGAATTTTCTGAACTCACTTGGGGAATCAGATTTGAAGTTGTCTGTAGGAGATGAAGGCGGCTTTGTGCGCCGACGAGGTCAGGGTGACTGCTACGGATTGCTACCTGCAAGGAAAAACAACACTTGGAATGCGTACGACATTCCCACATGGTTACATCGACATAAAGTCAAGTTTTACATCGGCTTGAGAATTTTTATTCCCTATGTTTCTAATGCCATGTTTAATAACAAATAAAACATATTCTGCATACAAAACATTTCATGATAATGAGAGATAACTTTAATGAAAGTAGATTTTATAGATTGGCCTGTGAATAGGCATTTGTACAAGGAAGCAACTCCTATATGAGGTAGCTACGAAATAGAAACGAAAAATACAACAGGTATAAATGGCAATGAGAGATGCTCGAATTTCCATTAAAACTGGTATCGTTACAGTTCCCATATCCTAAGTTGTCTCAATGCCTTGCCTCTGAAGCGTAGTAGTTGGACCGGTCAATTCGCTGCCAAGGTGCTATAGATGTGCACGTGTCACTCGTGAAGAGCATTCAGACACAACCTCTCGCTTAAGGTCCCTAATTTTTGCTTGGATCGCCCTTTCGGGTTTTCGTGTCCACCGGGATGCCCATTTTTTTGCCTAAGTCGCCCATTTCGGGTTTTCGACCTAGCGGGTCTCTTTATGCGTAGAATTTTTTGACTGAGTCTGAATTGATTGGGAGCGGAACGTCTTCCCCATCCATGTCTGTCAGGATTAAGGCATCTCCTGAAAAAGCTCTCTTCGTGATATATGTTCCCTCGTAATTGGGATTCCATTTGCCCCTTGGGTCGGAATGGATTTGCACGATGACCCTTCTCAAGACCAGATCACCAGGATAAAACTTTCGAGGACGAATCTTTTTGTCGAATTCTCTTTTCATCCTTTGTTGGTACAAATGGCCATGACAGATGGCCGTCAGATGCTTTTCATAAATCAGATTAAGTTGGTCGAACCTTGACTGAACCCATTCTGCCTCATCAAGCTTGGTCTCCATCAGAACCCTCAATGAAGGAATTTCTACTTCGACAGGAAGCACGGCATCAGTGCCATAAACAAGCGAAAATAGAGTTGTCGCTGTTGAAGTGCGCACAGACGTTTTGTAGCCATGTAGAGCAAAAGGCAACATTTCATGCCAATATTTGTATGTTCTAACCATCTTCTGAACGATCTTCTTTATGTTCTTGTTAGCAGCTTCGACTGCACCGTTCATTTTTGGTCGATACGACGATGAATTATGATGTTCAATTTTGAACTCTTCACACAATTCCTTCATCATGTTGTTGTTAAGATTAGAACCATTATCAGTGATGATTCTATGAGGGACTCCGTAACGACATATGATTTATTTCCTGATGAAATTGGTGACGACTTGTTGTGTTACATTCTTGTAAGAAGCTGCTTCTACCCATTTGGTGAAATAGTCGATAGCCACTAAGATGAATCTATGACCATTCAAAGCACTTGGTTCAATCCTTCCAATCATATCAATTCCCCACATCGCAAACGGTCACGGGGAGGTCATAACATTCATAGGAGTTGGAGAAACATGAATTCTGTCAGCATATACTTGGCATTTGTGGCAAAATTTTGCATATACGCAACAATCACTCTCCATTGTCGTCCAGAAGTATCCTGCTCGAAGGATTTTCTTCGCCATAGAATGCCCGCTCAAATGAGTCCCGAAAGAACCCTCATGGATTTCCTTTATGATCGACTCTGCT